TCACCACCACCACCACCACCACCACAACCACACACAAAATCTCATAGGCCATCTATTATAAAGACTAAGAATTTAACAACCACCAAATTCTACCCCACCCCCTTAATGCCTCTGTGTAAAGTACGATATAAATTAGAGTAGTGTTATGGGGATATAATATATTGTGAGTATTAGATTAATTGCGAGTCTTAACATTTAATAAAATAAGTTCATTATCATTTCAATAGTTATAAGATATACAGTCACATATTAAGTATCGAGTGGCATTATCTGTAGAATTACATGTTGTAGCACTTGATCTAGTTAATTAGGTATTGGACAACTGATAGGATGACAGGGTTGATTTGTTGGTGGGAACTATCAAACAATGGAAAGTAACCAACTTTAAGTGACACTAAATCCTATTGTGTCCTCAGCTCTTAGGATTGAAGTGATTATAAGTATTGGTTATGCTCGGGAGAGTTAGTGAGCTCCAATTTAAGACATTTGAATATACGATAAATCGTAAAATCAGTTCCACACCGTTCAACTATTTGTATGGATTATTTGTCCGGTTTGTTGTAGGCCGATACTGGTAGTCGTATCCAGCTTGGCACTACTTCTCGTTGTGATACCGTCTCATGTTTTATGTAAATCACAAACTTCAAGGGTCATTCAAGATGCCTTCAATTCAATTCCGAGTCATCTAAGTCATCATCACTAATTCGTGTGATACTCTTCATGTTGTGATATGAATTGAATAACTCGTCATTTTTTACTTTCATGATATCGAGATTGATATGTCTTAGTTGACTCCTAATTGATGGACGATTATGCAACCTTAAACCCTGCTTGGAAAAGGACATTTTTTAATCTTGTTTTTCAAATTATTTGTAAGCTTTTGGTGCTATCACAAGTTCTAATGTATTAATCTATTATGCGCTATAATCTTGGAAAACCTCTAAAAAGACCTATTTCTATTGGAGAGAGAAGGGCTGAAGAATAAGAGATCCTTCCCAGCACAAGATGTCCAAATGAAAACTTCTTGATGATCACTTAAGAGGGATGAGGCTTTAGTTTGAACTACAGACGATAAGATTGTGTATATTTGACTCTTACTGAATCTTACAGTAACGACAAACTCTTGGATAGCATCTAGTTGATTATCACTTGTTTAAGCTTGGTTTTAGGTCGATTGCTGAATTTGTATTCTTATATTCAAGATCAACATGTTTTTAAATTATACTCTCTAGTGTGACTAGACTTAGCTCGTTATTTTATTACAAACTCAAATTTGAAGTTAAGTTTAGATTTTGCACGAAGATTGAATTTTTTTGAGAAATCAAGAATTGGGTTGACTAAATAAAATCCCATAAAGTGATCAATGATCAACAATAAAACCTTACAAAAACCCACAATTTAAATCAAACAAAATCCCATGAGAGAGAGAGAGAGAGAGGGGGGGTAGAGCAAGAATCACGTTTGTTAGAACAATGGTATGTTAGGTAGAACCACCAAACATTCAACAAGGTATAAAAGTGATGTGAACATTATTATTTTTCGGAGTACCAACAATCTCTAAGCCACATAGAATACAATCATCTCAACTAGAAAAATCCTGGTGTAGCCTTCTTGTTTCTTTTTTTGTTTTTGCAAGTAAGCATAGAGGTCGGACCTAAAGGCTAGAGCCGTATCACGTGATCATCCTTCCAAACGATAAGGCCCAAGTTCAAGGCCGAAAGTACTGCAACTTCCATTTTGCTTTCCCTGAGCTCTCTTCTATCTATTGAAGATCATTTGCTGATGTTGACTAAGGCAGTGATTGTGCTTCTGTTTAGTCTTGTGGTATGGGCTTATCAAACAATAAAGCCTCCACCGCCAAAGATATGTGGCCTCCCCAATGGTCCTCCTGTTACTTCACCACGAATCAAGCTTGGTGATGGAAGGTATTTGGCATACCAAGAGAGAGGCGTTGTCAAAGAGAACGCTAAGTACAAGATCATTGTTGTTCATGGGTTCGACAACTCGAAGGACATGAATTTAGCTGCGTCTCAAGTACAATTATCAACTCTGTTTATGCACAAATTGCACATCCTTATGAAAATTCAATGAGTTTCATCTTTTCATTACCACTTCAATTTGTACCCTTTCATGTTCATTTGTCTAGTTAAGATTTTGTACCCTCTAGAGTGGTTTAATTGCTAAGAGTTCTAAATTCTCCAGATGTTCTTTAGTAGTTCTGTAATTCATTTGCTGTTGAATCTAACTACAGTGTTAGAGCCTTTCTGGTGTCATTTTACTTCATGATCCTTAGATGGAGGAAATCTTAATCCCACCTTACGCTAATTCCATGCCTTCCAGTTTGTGTATTTGATTTTTGGCACGGATTGTGACAAACTACGATAAACTTTTAGTTAATCTGGAAACTCCCTCCCTACGTTTGGTCCAATCTCTCTCATGTAAGACTAAACCAACATCCCGTTTTTCATTGGAAAGGGATAAATAGTGGATTAATTGGTAAAATCGGATATATCTGTTGAAGGGATGGTAACAAGAAGCTCGGACCATCATCCTCAAAACAGTAATTCCACTAATGAGTCCATTTTGAACTTAGCATTTGGTAATGGCATTCGAGTTAGCATGAAACTACACACTTACAAATTCAATGCCTTTTAACATTCTGTTGCTGTGCAGGAACTAATTGATGAGTTGGGAATATACTTCTTATTATTTGACAGAGCCGGGTATGGAGAGAGCGATCCAAATCCAAATCGCTCGGTGAAGAGTGAAGCATTTGACATACAAGAACTTGCAGACCAGCTAGAACTAGGGTCTAAATTTTATGTGCTTGGAGTTTCCATGGGAAGTTATCCCATTTGGGGTTGCCTCAAATACATACCTGACAGGCATGACATTCACTCCAATACTAGCCACCTGTTTATCATATCCCTATATTCGCCCCCCCCCCCCCCCCCCCCCCCCCCCCC